CACATTAAAAATAACCACAATCAGGTAAACAACATTGCATCACATGGTTTTTCCTAGTTCTATCTTATTTTCACAAATATATTCATTCTCGAAATTACGTCTTATTAAAATTTATGCTGTCTGCCATATCTCCTCATTCAGAACACCGCAAACCATCCAAGTTACCTAACAGCATCAGCAGCTTCCCACTTCCCACAACAACTCACCCAAAACCCGCCGCCACAACTAAAATTACTAAAAATTTTTAAAATTGCTCATAAACCATCCAACAAAACTTTCGAGTTGGTTGCATTGCTTAGTTGTAATCCACGTTCCAGCAACCAACCATTCACGAACCACGTACGAACCTCATATAGTTCATTTTGTACACCATTCGTTCTGGGACCAACTTTTTAAATTTTTCGATCATATTTCGCAGCTAACTACCACACCCCTTCATTCCACCACTTCTCACCGCTTAAAACCTAACCCACTGGAAAAAAAACAAAAAATTCGTCTCCACGAGAACAGAAACACTCAACTGAAGGTGATAACTCAATAATGGCGCAATATTTTCGGTCTCTACGTTCACGTCCAGCGTTTTCTAAAATCGACTAATGTATACATACATAATACACAGACAAATACCAGAATCTGTTGAACATCAATCAAATTATATTTCTGAATCGACACTTATACAGCCTAAGCTTTTAATCGCAAATATAATTACGACTGCACAATAATAATAACAATATCAATAAAAATAATATCCTCTAATCAGCAATTAAAATCTTCTCTGCAACAATAAAATATACGTAAGACTTACAATAAAATCATATTTACAATGAAGGCAGTCCAGCGGAGTAGTAATAATAATCATACTAAAACCAGTAACAACAACAATAATAATACTAAAAATAACAGAACTGATCAAAATACTACAATAATACTTGACCCGAACATTCAATCATTAAAAAAAGCACATAATAACCGCACTCCAAGCAAACAATAACAGCACTAAATAAATAATCAACTACAATAATCACTCTAATCAGAAATAACTCTCTCCACAAATTCCGCATAAGTCTGCTTCAATGCATATTTCCGAGCGAACTCTTGAATTGCCACACGTCTTCGACTATACACCATCTGATAACTACAACAACGAAACAATTTACAATTATATTCATAATAATAAAAATGTAATTTAAAAATATATAATAATAAATAAATATTATTAAAAAATAAATAAAAATAAAAAATATAATAAATACAACCACACACTTTTCTAATTCAACCGTTTTCCGACGCGCTATACTGATTATCGTTAGCCTCAGTAATGCTGGTAATGCTATCTGCGAAACCACACATCCGTCAAACAACGGGCCTGGCAAGCCACATCTCAAAATTCATATAATAATAACAATAATAATAACAATAATAATAATAACAATAATAATAATAATAACAATAACAATAATCAACAACAAAAACAATACTAATGAACGAAAAAGCCACTTGGTCCAATCGCCGTCGATGTGCACCCGCACCAGACCAGTCTCGACATTATGAAGGAATATCACCACCCGATCGGGTCTCCCACCCCGAACCACCTTCGAACCATCGCCACTCACCGCAAACATCTCCTCTGAAACGCACGCAATCAACCATATATATATACAAATCCAAATATCTATCTAAAACACTGCTTCACTAACCCACTGGAAAATGCCGTCTGTCCTCAAGTCTTTCCAACCAAACCACAAAAACTCGTTCATCTACATTACGCTTCACCAACTGACTTCCAGTTCTCTCTCCGAAACTTGCAGCTGAAGTTTTAACACAATAATAACAATAATAATAACAATAACAATAATAATAATAATAATAATAATAATAATAAATAACCTGATGCACCAGCTGCAGGTAAATCTTGAGCAGAT